AGAGACATAAGAGGAGAGAGGAGAAGGGGGAAGGAGGAGGAAAGAGGGAGGGAGAGAAAGAATGGGAATGACAGTCTGAGAAGGCATAGCAAGTGCTCCCTTACGTAGGAACCGTTACCCTGTCCGTGCATCTGTTTACCAGACTAAACTCCCCAAAGCATCTGGTGGCTGAGTTATTTATAACTCCGCGCCTGTTCCGGGCCTCTCGGCTGGAGCCGGCTGCCGCGCGGCCTTAATCGCCGCCGGGATCTCTGCGCCCCCCAGGGCCGGGGAGGTAAATTTAGCTTCAGGAAGCTCCGGGGAACATTTTCCAAAACTCCACGTCTCGCAGCGGGCTAGACGGACCCCTCCGTGCGCAGCCTTCCCCGGCCGGCCACCAGGCGGCGCAGGTCTTCCGGCTCCGGGGACCCAGCCAGCTGGGAGTTAGGGTCGCTGTTTGTTTGTTTGTTTGTTTGTTTGAGTCAGGGTCTCCACTGTGTTGTCCTTCAGGCTGGCCTTGAGCTTGTGGCAACCCTTCTGCCTCAGCCTCCCGAGTGCGCCCCCACACTCAGCGAGGGTCGCTGCTGCTTTGAAGCTGGAGTAGGTAAAGGGCAGTGAATAACAGCTGGAAGAAAAGTCCTCACCAAGGCTGTCCAGGACGCTGGGATCTGAAAACCACTGAGAAAAGGGGTGGGGACTTCTGTGTATCCAGCGGGATGTAACTCACAGGTAAGCCAAATGCAAATGAAAGCCTTGGGGGCTTGGGGGTCTGAAGGTTGGTACCAACATCGAAGGCCACACCCTTTCTGCACCTCTCCTGTGGTGTTGCCGGGAAAACTGGGACGCTGCTGCCCTGTCCCGACCATTGTTAACATGCCCTGCTTTTTGCACTCCCCTCCTCAGACCTTAACCGCTGTCCACTGCCTGCCTCTTGCACACCACCGAGGGTTCCGCCAGCGTTGTGATCCGCAGGGCCTTGGAAGCCGGCCTGGACTCTTGCTGCCCGACCCGGGTTCCCTTACGGCCCTGCGGCGGGGTGTGCTCCAATCCCGCCCTACCCCTTGTGGCCACTTGAGGGCGCGGGCGCGCCGAGGGCTAGGTGTGCCTTTACCCCTCCCCCCAGGACACCTGCTTTCCTGCAGGCTGCTCTCTCAAAACCGGAGTTACTGCTTGGGGAGTTGATGTGGGGAGGCTTCAGCGGTTTGTTTTTGTTTTTTCCTTCTCCAGGAGTAGAGAGAGCTATGGGCCAGGGGTCAGGGTGGATTAGATAGGACACGATTGGGGCTGCCACATTCTAGAACGAGGGAAGTTTAGGATTGAGGTGCGGGTTGTGTGTCCTTCCTTGCTTGCCTGGCTCCTGCCTGCCGGCAAACAGAAAAGAAAGGCGGGCTAATTAGAAGAAGCCCTGAATTTGATTTTTTTTTTTTTTTTTAAAGGCAAGTATTTCACTGTGTTGCCCCAGGCTGGTCTGATTTCTGGGCTTGTGAAATTCTGCCTCAGCCTTCTGAGTGATTAGAGCTAGAGGCACCCAAAGTCAGACCTGTACAGTCCTGAATTTGAGGTCTGAAAAAGTGGATTCACTGCATGACCGTTCTGCCGCCTGACTTGGTGAATCCCTTCGGGTCCCTGGGCAGGTTTCTTCACAGGAACGTAGAGTGATAAACCACCTTTGTCCCGCACGCTCCCAAGTGGACTTGTGAGGCCCAAAGCACTCTGCAGTGTGAAAAGGGCCTCCAATGGTGTGTGAATGTTTCCTGCTCTCCCAGCCCTGTCAGGCTCTGCTGTCAGCATTTCCTCGCAGGCCTGTGGCCTCAGCTTCTTTCTCCTCCAGCTCCCCCCACCCTCCTACCGTGGACCACAGCCTGGGCCAGGGGAGTGGGTGTCCACACTCAGACCCAGTGGGGCCTCAGAAAGGAAGAGGCAGGAGGCCAAGCCCAAGTCTGGAAGAGCTGAGCCAGCCAGCAGGGCGCAGGCTGTGCGGCAAGATGAGGCGACAGAGAAGCCCGATTCGGATGGGAAGGGGAATCATCGGACTGCTGCTCCCCCTCTCAGCTCTGCCCTTGGCATTGGATTTTAGCCATTCTTACTGCTGTGTCCTGGGGCAAGGGTGCAGCTCTGGAGGAGCTGGGCAAGGACACTGCCCTGCCCTGGTGACTCAAGAGTCTCCAAGCTGCCTGGGATAAAAAACAACCTGGAGGCCAGGTGTGGTGGCAGAGGTATGTAATCCCAGCTGAGGCAGGAGGATCTCTGTGAGTTCCAGACCAGCCTGGGTTATGTAGTGAGTTCCAGGTCAGTCTCAACTACATAGTGAGACCCTATCTCAAAAGAAAAAAAAAAAACAAAGAAACAACCTGGAGTTCCAACACTATGGAGTACTAAGCTGCCATGAAAAGGACTGCTGTGACATCCTGGGTGCTGTGTGAAGTGTATAAAGGGGGAAAAGGCAGGGTACACAGCAGTGTGCAGTCTGTGAACAGCTGCCAAGGGCGAGGCTGTCCGGAATCCAGCAGCTCCTCAAAGTGCCACTGCTCTAAGCCTGATCTGGGCCACCAGAGTGTCTGGAGTATTCTCACTACCTACTAGTAGATCTCTCTCTCTCTCTCTCTCTCTCTCTCTCTCTCTCTCTCTCTCTCCCTCACTCTCTTTCCACTGTAGCCCAGGCTGGTCTCAGACTTGCATCAATCTTCCTGCCTCAGCCTCATGAGTGCTGTGATTATAGGCTAGATCTCTTACATTCTTTAGAGTAATTCTAAAGTTTGTCCCCAGCGCTGCCCATGGGAGCCTTTCAAATAAAAAATCAGTTCTGGTTGGATACCCTGTGGTTGTTTCTCATTGACTCGGCATAAAAGCTCAAATTCTTACTTAGCTATGCACACACACCCTCAGCTGAGCTTTTTCCCCCATGGTACCTATCACCTAACATATATATTTTATTTTGTGGTACTGGGGATTATGCCCAGGGCCTTCATACTTAGTTGCTGTGTTGTCCTGGCTGAGCTTGAACTCTCCTCCTGACAGCCTCCCAGAATGCTGGGATTACAGAAGTGCACCACTACATACAGCTCTATGTTCTTAAAAAAAAATACAAACCTATAACGTACCTTTCCACTGGAATGTGAGCTCCACAGGGAAAGCCCTCTTGTTTCTTCACTCCTGTTGCCATAGCACCTAGGCTGTCATATAGATGATTAATAATGTTTGAATTGAATGAAGGAAGGGCCAGGGATCTGGCTCAGTGGTTCTGCCACCTGCCTCGCAAGTACAAGGGCCCACGTTTGATCCCCGGTACCAAAAAAAAAAGTAAAAGAATGAAGGACGGATGGACGGAGATGCAGCCTTTGCATAGATGATTGCTGGAACGGTCTCCAAGAAGTTGGTAATCAGTTACCTCTGAGGAGGTGAGCTTGGGGTCTGGGGGATGTAGGAATCTTCATTTTTATTTTATTGCAGTACTAGGGATTAAGCTGAGGTACATTCTACTACTGAGTACATTGTACATTCCTGGCCTTTGTACTTTTGAGTCGGGGTCTCACTAAGTTGCCCAGGTAGGCCTTGAGCTTGTGATTTTCCTGCCTCATCCTCCCTAGTAACTGGAGTAGCTGGGATTTGCAACCCAGCTGAAATTTTTACTTTTTACTATTACTTATTTTAAACTTTGTGTGTGTGTATTTTTTTTGGGAGGTACTGGGGATCAAACTCATGACCTTGCATTTTTGAGGAAGGTACAGGGCCACTGAGCTAAATCCCCGGCCCCGTACTGAATATTACTTTACAAAAGGAAAAAAAGCTAATGCCAGGTGTGCTTGCACATGTCTAATCCCAGCACTTGGGGAGGCAGAGGCAGGAGTTTCAGCTCAGCCTGAGAAACTTACTGAGACCCTGTCTCAAAAAAATAAAAGGGCCGGGGATGTAGCTCAGAGAGAAGGCCCTGGGTTCAATACCAGTTCCAGAAAAAAGGAAAAGAAAAAGCCCAGAGGAAAAGCAGTTAACCAAGAAGGCTGAGCAACTGGTCCCAGGGAGGGACGGAGAGGGCCCCATCCCTCACCTCCCGGCCCCAGTGCCTGGGTGAGAAAGGCAGACAGGCAATAGCTGGGCCTCTGTGGGGACAGGGCACATGGGGGACCCCAGAGAGAGGCATACAAAGCCATTGCTGGCTCTGAGGTTTCAGGGCTGTGGCTGGGCATGGTAGAAACATGGGCGAGGTGACACCCATGTGGCCCTCCCCTTGGGAATGACCAGGGAAGGCAGGGGGTGGCGGCTGCCAGGGATCAGGCTGTGCGTGCCGTGGTCAGCCTGAGGGGCCTGTATGGCTGTGCAGGTGCCTTTTCTCTGCAGCTTTCCATCTGGGCTGGGCACTTTGGCAGCTGTGGCTGCCTTTTTCCTGAGCTGGGGATAAGCAGCACTCCCCAGGCTCCTCGGAGACAGCAAGCAGGCTGGACCAGGGCTCTGCGGTCTCCCAGGAGATACCATCCAGATGAGGGCCTCCACACACACACCCCAAGGTCGGGGAGCTCGGCCTTCTCCGCACCCAGGCCCAGGGAGTCAGGAAACCTGGCCTTCCAGGGACTGCTGTCCAGGACGAGCTCCCTCCTTCCCAGTTAGGCATTTGGAACTTTCTGGTCTCAAGGCCTGTTTATTTTTTCATGTGTAGTCATGATTCCAAAGCAGAGGTCCTTGGGGCGGCCCATTGCTGGAGCTAAGTGGCGCAGTAGGCTCACTTTGGGGCTGGTGGGCTTGCGGTGCCAGCCTGGGGGAGTGCCAGGCCCTGCCACAGCTTTGCTGGTCCTGGGCAGCAGGTCCCCTGGGGGCGTGGGGAGCGGGTGCCTGGACTCGAGGCCTGGCAGATGCCTGGCTCAGCCGTCCACACTTCCCTCCCTCCAGATGCCTCCTTGGTCTGGTACAGCTGGCCCTGGAGTGTCACCGGGGCTGCAGAACAGAGCGGGAGCTGTGGCTGTTCTGCCACACGTCCGTCCCCGATGCCCATCTAAGCAATGCCTGCCAAGGTGCCAGTGGGCAGAGGTGGTGGCAGCTCCCACTGTCCTTAACCCAGCAGCTCCCCCATACACCAGCAGCAGAGGAGGACGCAGGCAATGTCCTTCAGGGTGTGCTGCAGGCCCTCCCGTGCTGTACCCATCTTGACGACAGGTACCTGGGCCCTGCATCCCACAGGGACCCTCCCCAGGCCAGCGGCTGGGTCCCAGGCTGCATGTGGAGCACGGGTGTGGGAGGCCTCCCTGCTGCCCCCGACCCGGCCCCATGACTGGAGACCAAGGCACCAGGGTCTGGCAAAGGAAAGTCCTGGGCCTGGGGGGTGGGGTGGGGGCTCGCAGATGTCCACGGCCCACTCCAGCTCAGCCCTCCCTGGGCTCTGCCGGGCTGGACGTGAGGAATCGCCCTAAGAGCCCTTTCCAGCCCCGAGTGGGAACGGCCAGCAGGGTCTGGCCTGGCCTGGCTGCCTCCCCAGTCCGGAGCCCGAGCAGGAAGACATGACCAGGGCTACAGACGAGGGAAAGGCTGGGTTTACTGCTGGCCAGGAGGGAGGGAGAGGGAGTCAGGTGCGGGCGTTGCGTTCCTCCTCCTCCTTCTCCAGCAGGTAGGCGGGGCGGTAGGTGGGTGGCCCTCCAGGGCTCAGGCACTTCAGGGCCGGGTTCCGCACCGTGTTCTCGGGACTGCCCAGCGACGTGTACCTGCGGTGAGGACGGAGGAGGGGTGTGCGGACCTCACAGCCTCTTCCCACCCGTGCCACCCGGCCTCCCCTCTGCCCCGCCTACCCCTGGTCGTACAGGACACAGTACGGGATGAAAAGCTGCCGCAGGAAATCCCAGATGTTGCTGTAGGTCCAGTCCTGGCGGCGGAGGCAGAAGTCATAGGTGTCCCTTGTCCCACACCCGTGTCCCGGAGGGGCCTCTGGGGTTCCTGTCCCCACCCTGGGAAGGCCTGTTCTCCGTGTCCCTGCGACAGCCACTCTGTGCGGGACGGGCAGTGACCCTTCCTTCGGCCTCACCCTCTCCAAGCCTAGGCCACTCCAGGACGAGGACAGCTGTGTGTGGGGGCCAGGCTGGGTACACACTTGATATCTTCCTGCCTCAGCCTCCCAGAGTACTGGAATTAGAGGTGTGTTCCAACATCCAGCTGCTCAGTCCTTTAAACATTTTCTTATTGTGCAAATCGTTGAAATGCCCTTGGTGGGCATGGTTCCACATGCTTGTAATCTCAGCATTACAAGCTGGAATGGGACGGCTGAAGAAGGAAGGCTGCTGAAAGTCTGAGGCCGGCCTGGGCTCTCTAGTGAGTTCAAGGCCAGTCTGAACTGCACAGTGAGACCATGTCGCTTGCTCGCTCTCTCTCTCCCTCTGTTTTTCAGACAGGGTCTAGCTAACTAATTTGCTAAACTGCCCTTGGCAGGTACGTGCCTATAATTGGGTACTTGGGAGGATGAGGCAGGAGAATCACCACAAGTTTGAGGCCAGCCTGCACTACATAGTGAGACCCTGTTTAAAAAAACAAAACAAGACAGAACTGCTAAACTTCCCAGGCTGGGCTCAAATTAGGAATTCTCCTGCCTCAACCTCCCAGAATGCTGGTGTGCACCACACCTGGCCCTCAATTAATTGCATTTAGAAACAACATACAATTTACATGACATAAACTTCACCCAGTGAAAATACACTGGAGCTCAGTGGCTTCTGGCAATTTGTATTTCATGTATGACTCGGTGGCCAGTGGCCATGGTGCTGGACAGCACAGGTCCGAGTCCCTGTCCTGCGCACAGGAGCAAGCACAGTGCCCACTTGAGCGGCTGGCAGCAGGCAGCCCTGTCTCCCCGTGTGACCCGCAGCGGGCATCCTGCAGGCCTGGCCCATTTACCAGCAGTGGGTTGATGCGCATGAACACAGGCCAGCCAGGGTCGGTGGGGCTGAAGGGGTGGAGGCCACAGGAGTAGGGGTCGGTACTGCGGGTGCCCATGAGCACGGCTTCCAGCTGCGGGTAGCGCGTCTGCAGCTCACGAAGGGCCTGCTTCATGTCGCCCTCGGCCTCCAGCACCCTCAGACTATACCTTGAGGAAGAGGAGTGGTGTGGTCAGAGCCGGCGCCACGGAGCCCCTGGGCCCGGCCTCCAGCCCCTCACCTTCTATTTTTATTTTATTTTTTGGTTTTTTGAGACAGGGTCTCACTATGCAGCTGAGACTGACCTGGAACTCACTGTGTAGCATTTTTTTTTTTTTTTTGAGACACAGGGTCTCACTATGCAGCTGAGACTGATCTGGAACTCACTGTGTAGCCCAGGCTGGTCTCCAACTCACAGTGATCCTCCTGCCTCAGTCTCCCGAGTGCTGGGATTACAGGCGTGCGCCACCACGCCTGGTTTTTTTCTCAATTTTTAATTTTAATTTTATTTTTTGGTTCAGTCCCTTACCTTCTGATGGTGTCCTGCAGAAACTGCTCCAGTTCAGGGAAAGGGGAGACACTGCGGATGTACAGGATCTGGAGGGCTTCTGGGCCATCGGGAAACTTCCTGGGAGGGGAGAATCCATGGGCTCCCGAGCATGGGTAGGGCAGGCCCTGGGGTGACACCTTCCGCTTCGCCCCTTTCTTCCTGTGACCCAGCCGACCCACATCCGTGGGAAGCCCACTCTGGTCTCTCAGCTCCAAAACCTGCGCTTCCTGTGTCTACATGAGATTTCTCACCAGGACAGCGTGTCTGTGGCGGGCGCGTCCCACGAGGGCCAGAAATGTCTGATGGCAGCAGATACGTGGGCAGCGGAACTGAGTCGCCGTGGCTGCCTCCCTGCCCGGCCACCCTGGGCCCCTTTCTCCTGGCTTGCTGGGACCAAGGACTGCAGAGCAGGACGGTGCAGTCTCGGGCTCTCGGTGTGCTCACCTCCGCACGGCGGCGTGGAAGAGGTGCAGCAGGGCAGTGCAGTCCTTGCCCCCGTTGAAGCCCAGGCAGAGCTGGGTGAGGTGGTACCTGGCCAGGGCGGCCTCAATGGTCTGCAGGGCACTTGTCACCTTCTTCCCCAGAGAGGACCCTGTGCGGTGGGAACACATGGCTGGTCACGGCCGCACATCGGGAAGAGAGCCCTGCTGTCCCCAGGGTTCTCTGGGCTAAGCCTCAGCCCTTTGGGGCAGCTCCTGTGCCCTGCAGTCTGCCCACCCCCACCAGGTTCAGCATCCTTCCTGAGGGGTAGGGGCTGAGGGGGTGGGGTGCTCCGGTTTCCTCACAGGCTTTCATCCTGCCTGATTCTGCCCACCTCCTGGTCTAACCAAATCCTCCTCAGGACCCAGCGTCTGTCACCGAGCCCCGAGGAGCCTTCTCCCACCCTGTGGAGTCCTTTTCATCACTCCCATCCAGCTTTTTCATTCTTTTATTTTTTGAGGTAGGATCTCACTACATAGTTCAGGCCAGCCTGGAACTCACTGGATCTTCCTGCCTCGGCCTCCTGAGTGCTGGGATAACAGGCCTGCGCCGCCACATCTGGCTCATTACTCATGTTTTATGCACAATTACCTTCTTTTAAACTATTGGTCAAAAAGTGCGGGACACACCCTTAACCTGTTATGCTTCTCCCCAGCTCCTAATACCGGGCCGGTGAAAAGGAAGCACTCAAGAGTATTACTGGGAGAATGAGTGAATCAACAGCAGCTAACTCCCACCTCCTTCCAGATTTGTGGGACCCCAGGACAGGCCCTGTTCCTGAGGCTTACAGGGGCGCCACGGCCCGGCCACCTGCTGCCTGGAGGCCCCTACCTGACTCAGCCAGCTTGTACACGGCCTCGCTGGCCTGCTCCACAGCGTCGGGCACGTAGGGAACCACAGAGCCCGGGGGTAGACGGGCAGTCAGGTAGGCCAGGCACTCCTCCAAGGGCCCTTCCTCCTCGGAGTCCAGGGTCAGCTTCACCTGGTAATAGTTGCTGCCCCAGTCTGGGTAGGAGCCCAGAACAAGCGTCCTCCCAAAGTGGGCTTGGGCCTCGGCCAGGACGGGAGCGATGGAGGCCTCCGCAGCAGCCACGTACAGCTCCCGAGAGTGGAACTGAACGGCCGGGTTCCGGAACAGCCCCTTGAACCCCTCCAGCCCCCGCCGCAGCAGCTCCTGAACGCCTGGGAAGAGGTAGACATTGCGGACGGACACCAGCGGGTACCGGAAGGGCCGGCTGGTGCGAGGGTCCATGCCGTAGTGGAGGCGCGCGGAGGAGGGCACCAGCGACAGCTTCTCCCAGCCCTCCCCTCCCAGGGCCCGGACGGCCGCCTGCAGCTCAGGGTGCGGCTTGAGCTCCTCCCCGAAGGCGTGAGCCACGGCCTCCAGGGTGACATCATCGTGTGTGGGCCCCACGCCCCCCGCCGTGAGGACGTAGGTGAACCGGCTGGAGAAAGAGGCCACCTCGGCCGCAATGGTGTTCACCTCGTCGGGCACAACAGAAACCCGGCAGACCTGGACGCCCAGGGACCTCAGTGTCCGGCACAGGAAGTACGTGTTGGTGTCCTGAGTGCGTCCCTAGGGATGGGGACAGGACCACCGTTGCTGTACTGACGACAGGTGCTTCGGCCCAAAGATAGGCTGCTCTGCTTTTGGGGACACAACTGAAGGCTGGCAAGGAGCCTGGGCGGACCCGGCAGTGGGAGAATGACCTGGGCCCCACCTCTGGACTTCTTCCTGGTCTCACTCACACTTCCTGTTCAGCTTTCTCTCCAGACCCACAGCTCTGGCTGCCTGGACCCAAGTCCTGCCTGCGTGGCCTCACCATACCCCTGGCTGCTGCTGTCCCTCAGGCAGGGCCTTCCCAGACTGTTCCCAGCCAGCTGGGCCTTTCATCCTGTCAGCTCTCTCCTCCTGCTCTCATCTGTCCCCATGACTACCAAGCCCGGGTCGTCAGCCCCTTTCACCTGGACAATGGTGACAGCCTCCTGGCTGGGCTCCCAGCCTCCAGCCGCCATGCCGAACTGTCTGCTGAGGAACCTCCCTAATAGTTCACTGTGATTACATCACTCAGGCCCAACAGCCACTTGTTGTTTCCAACTGTATACAGAATAAAGTTCACATTCCTTCACAGATATCTGAGGCTGCTTCTGACATGCACCCTATCATTTTCTTTTCCAGCCTCATCTTCCATTTCTCTATAGTGGCTTAGTGGTTAAAAATTTATGCTAGCCAGGCGTGGTGGTACACGCCTGTAATCTCAGTACTGGGGGGCTGAGGCAGGAGGATCGCCACAAGTTCAAGGCCAGCTTGGGCTACACAGTGAGACTTTATCTCAAAACAAACAAACAAACAAAAAAAAAACCATCCCAAAAAACAGAAAGAAAGAATGAAAAAATTCTACAGTAAGGGAGAACCAGGCTGGAATCTCTACCACTTCCATGTATGTAATCTTGGCCAAGTTTCTCAGTCCCTGAGCCTCAGTTTTGTAACCTATGAAATGAAATTTATAATGAAAACACCAATTTGATGAAATTGTTTTTCGAGACAGGGTCCCACCACGTGGTTCAGGCTGTCCTTGAACTCACTAGATAGCCCAGGCTGGCTTCAAACTTAAGGTGATCCTCCTGCATCAGCTTCCCGAGTGCTAGGATTGTGAGAACTAAAAAATCCCACCTGTGGTGTAATACATATAAACACACCGCCAGGCTCTAGGGAGCACTGAAAAGTACAGGTCAGCATGGCTGTCTCAAACCTGTGCCTGCCCTGCCTTCTAGCAGCACCTCTGATCACTCAAGGGGGTAGATTTCTCCCTTGAAGTACTTTCCTTTTAGGCCATTTATCCACCCTGCCGAGTGCCTTTAATCTTTTCCAGTCAGGCTGGATATAACTTTTTTTTAATAGGTCTTGCTATGTTGCCCAGGCTGGCCTCAGAATCACAGTTCTCTTGGGTCAGCCTTCTGAGCAGCTAGGATCACAGGTGCGCGGCTCCACAATCAGCTTTGGATAGAGCTCTGAGGATCTGCACCTCTCCTGCTTACCGAGCCTCCTTACCGCTGTGCAGTTTCCCTTCCACCCCCACATACTGTTTGCCAATCTGCAGGGACGCTGCTGCAGGGTAATCGAAAGAATGGGGGTTACTTTTCTTCCCATATGTGGGACTCAGTCCAGGCCCCTACTGCAACGGACAAGGGGCTCCCGCCCTCCCACGCAGCAAGTCCCTAAGAACAGGAGAACGCAGCCCGCGCGTGAACCACACACCTTGAGAATCTCATCTCCAACAATGATGATGCCTGCTGTCACGCTGCGCCCCGAAGTCCCAGATGCCATGGTCCTGCCTTTGCCCCTCTGCAAGGCCCTCCAGTAGCCACCCGGACCCCTAGTCAGGGGCCGAAAGCACAGGTGGGCCGCCAGGTCTACAGGGTGCCGAGGGCCACAGCCTGGGAACAGGGTCAAGGGGACCTGGAGAAACCAGAAAGGCCAATGGAGGGCAGGAGGGCGCGGCCCTCCTTTGAGCAGATCCTGGACAAGCGACTCCTTTATTACAGTCTCTTTAACAAACGTTTTCTCAAGTCCCAGCCCATGCTCTCACAAGTGTTCTCTGTTTGCCTGTTTGCTTTTTTGCAGTGCTAGGGATCCGACCCACGGCCTCACGCGTGCAAGATAAGCGCTGGCCGCCGCCTGCCTCGCGAGCACAAGAACCCGAGATGACCCCGGTACCGGGGCGGGATATATATATATATATATATATATATATTGGCGCTGTGCCACGGAGTCCCTTACATATGTCTTCTAAGCTTGGATCTAGCCTCCCTACATATCCTGCTCTCCCGAGAACCTACCACTTTAAATGTCTTCTATCTGCCGATCCGACCTCTTCAGAGCTTGCTCTAGCTTGGGGATCTGCACCTTTAAGTGTCTCTTCTTTTCACCTTTAAAGGTCCCCCGACCAGGGGCTTGGCCCATTTAAATGTGCTGCGCCGTCCTCATCTGACCAGAACCCAGTCGCCTTCCCCTTCACCCTTTCTAGCCCGGAACCCCTTCTTCTACCAAGTTTCACACTGCTGAGCTCTTCCAAGCTCTCACCTGCCTAACGCGTCCCTGCACCGGGCCTTTCCTTTCCTCGAGTCCTGGGACAACTTCCTTACTCACAGTCCCACCTTACTCTACAATTTACTCATATTGATTGGTTATTTTGGCCGTCCCTTAGCTTCTTCCTGAAGGTCCCATTGGTGTAGCTGACTGTCGCTCTCTCGGGCTTTGTCCCGCAGGCCGGAGAAATGCTACGTTGTTATAGGCAACAACCACGTGGTTATCCCTCACCCGGAAATGTAGGGGCGGGCTTTGTGCTGGGGGCGGGACCTAGGGGGTTGTGGCACGGAAGGAGGAGAAACAGCTTCAGCTGTATTTTATTTTGGGGTTTTTTTTCTTTCTTTCTTTTTTTTTTTTTTTGGTTTTTTGAGACACGGTCCCACTATGTAGTGGAGACTGACCTGGAATTCACTGTGTAGCCCAGGCTGGTCTCGAATTCACAGCGATCCTCTTGCCTCAGCTTCCCGAGTGCTGGGATTACAGGCTTGTGCCACCCGCCTCCACAGCTTCTGCTGTTTTTAAATTCTCATAGGCGTGGGCTCTTTTTATTCACAATGAATAAATTTTAGGGTAAGCAGTCAGGGGCTGGTACTGAACCCAGGGCCTCGCTCATACTGGGCAAGTGCTCTACCACTGAATTATAATCCCAGCCCTATTTTTTTATTTTTCTATTTTCACTTTTTTTTTTCTTGTCCTTTCCTTCCTCTCAGCCTTAGTTATTTTTCAATGAGGGAGGACCAATATGCTTAGCCACCCTTTTGCCTAACCCTCTCTCTCCTTCCCCAAAAGCTGGGACTACAGGGTCACCACAGCACCAGGGTGGGATTTTGTTTATTAAATTGGAGGGAGTCAGGGAAGGTTAATCAGCATTGACTGTGGGGAAGGAGTTTCTTGGAATAGACGATCGATTAATGTGTGGAACCTTCATTTGTCTCTAGTATATATGGAAAGGCTCAACTTACTTGAAACCTCTTTGAGGAGATAAAGTTCAACAAATAAAAACGTACCTTTAGCTGAGTGTGGTAGTGAACACTTGTGATCCCAGCACTCTGGGAAGCTGAGGCTGGAGAATTAGTCTGGGCCATTTATTATTAATATTATTTTATTATTATTTTTTTGTGTGTGTGTGAGACAGGGTCTCACTATGTAGTTGAGTCTGACCTGGAACTCACTATGTAGCTCAGGCTGGTCTCGAACTCACAGAGATCCTTCTGCCTCAGCCTCCCGAGTGCTGGGATCACAGGCCTAAGCCACCATGCCTGGCCCACAGTCTGGGCCATTTAGTTAGACACTGTCAAGAAATAAATTTTAAAAATAAAAATTTTAAAAAGGGTTGGTGCTGGGCATGGTGGTGCATACCTGTAATCCCAGAACTGAGAGGCTGAGGCAGGAGAATCTGAGTTCTAGGCCAGCCTGGGCTACACAGTGAGTTCAAGGCCAGCCTGAACTTCTTAGTGAGAACCTGTCTCAAAAAAAAAAAAAAAAAGTGTTGGGGATGTAACAGTGTGAAGTCTCCTGGGCTCAATCCTCAGTAACACACAAACAACCAAACCCCCAACTCCCTTGACCCACCTTGCTCCAGATGCTTAATTCAAAAACCACCTCTCAGTTGCTGGTCTTGTAGGGAGACAGTGAGTGGAGTGCACCTCCTGTGTTGGCTTTGTTTTGTTTTGTTTTTTGAGACAGGGTCTCACTATGTAGGTGAGACTGACCTGGAACTCACTATGTAGCCCAGGCTGGTCTCAAACTCACAGCCATCCTCCTGCCTCAGCCTTCCAAGTGCTGGGACTGCAGGCGTGCGCCACCACGCCCGGCCTCTGTGTTGGCTTTGGATTCCCACACCATCCTAATCATTCTGGCTTTCATTTCAACTGTCTTTTGTCTAAAAGTGCATTTGATGGGGGCGGTGTGCTGGGTATAAAAAAGTGTTTGTTTAATTTTGGTTTTGCTTTGAGACAGAGTCTCACTGTGTAGTTCAGGCTGGCCTGAAACTCAAGATGATCCTCCTGACTCAGCCTCCCAAACTTTAAGATTTTTTTAACAGGCTTTTTTTTTTCTTGAACTTTAATTTTTGTACTAATCCTCCAGAGCCTTTTTGTGTGTGTTTGCTCTGAGACAGGATCTTGCCTTGTAGCTTGCACTGGCCTCTAACTATGGCTCCTCCTTCCTTTCCTCTGGAGTGTTGGGGTTACATATTTACACCACTACCTGTATACTCAGGACTTTACTGGCTGGAGGATCTTTATAATAATGCAGATTATGACTCAGTAGGTTTGGGTGAGACCTGAGATTCACATTTGTCCTGTTCCATGCCAGGCTAGTTTATGGCTACATTTTGAGTAGTAAAGGCTGAAGGAATACTGAATCACACCTGGTCTCATTTTATTCTGCAAAACCCTGTGAGAGAAACATCATGCTCGGAAAATTGAAGGCATGCCACACAACTATAAAACATAAAAATTCATCGGCCATAACTGGATGTGGTGGTGCATGCCTGTAACTCCAGCACTCTTAAGAGGCTGGAGAAACCCAAATTCAAGCCCAGCATGTATAATTTAAGAGATCCTGTGTCCAAAAAAATAGCTGTGAGTGTAGCTCAGGGTAAAGACCTTGGGCGCAATCCCTAGTCCCTGGGGGAAAATACACTCACAGGGGTGGGGATTTAGCTCAGTGGTGCTGTTGCCTGCCTTGCAAGCACAAGGACCCTAGTTCTATTCCCGGTACCAAAAAACAAAACAAAACAGAAAATATACTCACCACACCCATCAGCTCTTAACAGCACTTGTGCTAAAAGAAAACAAAAGTAATACACCAAAAAAATCCACTTGTCTAATAACATAAACCACATGATCTCACTTGTTTTAATAAAAATCACACTGGGTCCCTCTCAAAACATCAACTCTGCTCCAACCCTGTACCACAGTAATTCCCCCAAGTTTAGGGGTACAGCAGGACCACTTGGACAGCTTGTTATAACACATGACCAGGGCTGTGTCCACCTGTTTATAATCCAACAGGCCTGAGGGTAGAGCACAGGAATCTGATTTTTTTTTTTTTTTTTGTGGTGGGGGGAATCAAACTTAGGACTTTGCGCTTGCAAGGAAGGCATGGTGCCACTGAGCTAAATCCCTGGCCCAGGAACTTGCATTTTCTTTCTTGTTTTTTGAGACAGGGTCTCACTATGTAGTTGAGACTGACCTGGAACTCACAGTGTAGCCCAGGCTGGTCTCCAACTCACAATGATTCTCCTGCCTCAGCTTTCTGAGTGCTGGGATTACAGGTGTGCATCACCACACCCAACCCAGGAACCTCCATTTCTAATGAGTGTCCAGATTATGTTGATGCCTGAAGAACTCTTCTAGAAGCAGATAGGAGACAGGAAAAAGGAGATCAATCTCCCTTTGTACTAGTTTTTTTAGAGGGTAAGCTATTTAGTGAAATCTTAAGGATCTATTATTTTTCTGGTACTGGGGATTGAACTCAGGTCCTTGTGCTTGCAGGCATGATTCCTCTGAGCTATATCCCCCGCAACACTCGGTTTTCTTTTCCTTCGGTTTTTTGAGACCGTGTCTCACTATGTAGTTGACTGACCTGGAACTATGTAACCCAGGCTGGTCTTGAACTCACAGCGATCCTCCTGCCTCAGCCTCCTCAGTGTTGTGATTACAGGCGTGTGCCACCACTCGTTTTTCTTTCTTTTGAGACAGTCTTGCTATGCAGCCAGGCTGGCCTCAAGCTGGAGATCCTCCTGCTTCTGCTAGGTGGTAGGCAAGAGCCACCATGCCCGATTTACACCTGTGTCTGCAGAGCTTAGTATTGTAACTAGCTGAACAGGGCTGTTTCACTTCAAATCCCTACGCCTAGTCTGTGTCCCTTACCAACTAAGTCAAAATCTCTAGGGGAGTTGTGGGTAGCAGCACTTGCAAAGCTGCCCAGTGAACTCCAATGCTCAACCAAATTTGTGACTGAGTCCATCCAACCCCTACCAGCAGGCACAGTGAACAGGGCGAGGGTGGTGGTCTTGGCCGACAGCCTCCTCCTCCCTTAGCCCTTGCTGCTCTTCAAACATTGGCTCCACCTGAGAAGCAGCACCCTCACCATAGGGCACAGTGCATCTGTTCATGAGATGAAGCTGTCCCTGTGGAACCTGGACCTCAGGAGTCATCAGAGCGAAATGTTTCAGCAGGTGTTTCACACAAGTCTATTTAAAGTGGATTACAAGCAGCCAGGCATGACGGTGCCCAGCTACAAAATCCCTACGTTCTGCGAGGCTGAGGCAGGAGGAGCACAAATTGGAGCCCAGCTTGATAATTGAGCAACTTAGTGAGATGCCTCATACTTTAAAAAACATTTTTATTTTGTTGCTTTTTGAGACCGGATCTTGCAATGTAGTCCAAGGTGGCTATACACTTGCAGTGCTCCTCCTGCCTCAGCCTCCAGAGCGCTGGGGATTACAGGAGTGCACCACCATGCCTGGCTTAAAAAAAAATTAAGGGTTGGGATGTAACTCCAGTGTCAAGCCCTGGGTTCAATTTCCACTAACAAAAAGCAAAACAAACCAAAAAACCAAAAATCACTAAACTAAATACCCCAAATAGGTTTCACTATCAGACTGAAGGGCGCATAATCAAGACCACAATACTGAATGTGATGGTTGACTTGCAAATAGGGGAAAAAAATTCTTCCAATCACAGAATGAGATTATAAAAACTTCTTTAATCAAGGCTTTAACACTGAATAGATTTCTCAAATGAAATGAAAAGTTTCTAATACATTGAAACACAAATCTGTAAGTCACCATACATACAGTAGCCAGCAGGAAAACACAAAATGCTAAGTTTATGCAATCCCGTAAAGCCACGGCCTGCATCTCAGATGCTTCTTCTGCCTGTTAGGGTGTCCTGCTGGGAGCAGCACCCTGTGGCTCTGGGGCGACACTGGGCAAAGGCTGCGCCCACAGGGACCAGCGTGGCAGGCTGTCGGCGGCTGTACTCGAGAAGCAAGGCATTGCCAGCATATTCAAACAGTGTGTGGAACATCCTTTAAATATCACAGTGAGACAGGAGAAGGCAGGCCCACAGGGACCAGCGTGGCAGGCTGTCGGCGGCTGTACTCGAGAAGCAAGGCATCGCCAGCATATTCAAACAGTGTGTGGAACATCCTTTAAATATCACAGTGAGACAGGAGAAGGCAACACAATCGTATTATCAGAAAGATGTTAGCAGGAAGGACAGCTGTGTAAGCTTGAGGCTGAAAGGTGGCTCGCCAGCTTCATTTGTTTGGCTTCTTGGGTAGTGGCCGTCGGAACAGCAAGATGTGAGGTTCTGAAAGATGGAGGGAAATGTAAGAGCCGCGCTCACAGCATTCAAGGACAACCTGCAGTGCCTCCCACACCCCGCTGGTTATCACTCAGATCTTCATAACCAAGTGAGTGACGACATAGCATATGGCCTAAGTCTGGCCTGTCTGCCAAGCACAGAACTGTTAATTTCAATTCTTCTGCTATGTGGTACAGCCCCAAAGTGTCCTTTATTACTTTTGCCTGGCAGGTGGGTGTCTGGTGTCGATTTATCAAGAAATGTAATTTCTTTCTTTTTTTGGTACCAGGGATCGAACTTGGGCCCTTGTGCTTGCAAGGCAGGTGGTAGAACCACTGAGCCAAATCCCCGGCCCAAGAAATGTAACTAAAAAAAAAAAAAAAAAAAAAAAAAAGAAAGAAAAAAGAAAAAAAGAAATGTAACTTCCTTTGCATTATTTGGTACACACTCAAGAATTTGCTTTCTGATGGCGAGCAAAGCTGGGGGCATAATCAACGTTAAGAAAATGGTGCTCTGGCTAAACTGAAGGTGAAAGGGGGTTTTTCTTTCCTTTTTTTTTTTCAGCTTTAATTGAGTTTACTGGTACATTTTAGGGATACAGTACAGTTACATTCATTGTTGGGATCTTGTACCTCTACATGACAAGTCTTGATTCTCATTTTTAAAGGAAAAAGATTTTTTTTTTTTGGTACCGGGGATTGAACTCAGGTCCTTGCGTTTGCAAGGCAGGCCACCGAACAAATTTTTTTTTTTTTGGTACCGGGGATTGAACTCAGGTCCTTGCGTTTGCAAGGCAGGCCACTGAACCACTGAGCTAAATCCTCGGCCCCAAAGGGGGTTTTTCATTAACAGGTATCCCTGAACTTTCCAAACATTTTACTTTTATTTTTGGTCACTTAATCTATTGGAGGAGAACCCAGTGAACCATTTCCTCCTGCCCCTTCTGTTGTTTCTTCATTCCCTTAGTGTAGCAGTGCTATTGGTTTAAGGTTCCTTTTAGCCATTACACTAACCTGGTTCATGGATCATATAATGGACCCATCCCTGACTCTGCTGAACACCAAGATTCCTCCATTCAGATTCAGACATCAAGTGGGTTTTAGGGACCAGCTTGGCTATATCCTTGGGCAACATGACATGCCTGTAACAGAAACACAGGATGGGAGTTTCTGTCAGTACTGGGTACCATCTACACACAAGTGCCCATGTGCAAAGACAAGCAAGGTTACACCTTCTGGGGGATGGAAACTGGTTTCTGAGGTCAGGGAGGTACAGGCAACAGGAAATACAAGACAAATTATGTAAAATACCGCAAAAATGTATTAAAAAGTACAAATTAATGAATAATTCCAGTGTGAGCGCCCAAGTTCCAGACACTGTTGATATTTTTTCCTCTGCCCCATGGGCCTCACAGAATTCTGGTGGAATTCACAGAATTCTGCAGATTACGCACAATACAATGGGAGCCCCAAGAAGCACAGTGAGTGTCAAGAGCTAGAGATGATTTTTTGGGGGGGCTACCGGGGATCGAATTTGAGGCAGATGGTGGAACCACTGAGCTAAATCCCAGCCCTACAGGTGAATTTTAAATAGGATTAGTAAGGAAAAGAAGTAATCTTATGGAGCAGAAGGGCTTGTTATGAAACGCTGCGTGGACAAGTCGATGTAAGGGATTAAACATAAATGTCCATCCTAAATCCTGCTTTCCCAACTCTGAAGGGATGTACCCTGAGTCTTGGGGAATTCCACGTTCTCCTAACCAAGAGGGTCTCTCTGCTCTCTTTGTGGCAAAAAATGATTACTCACTCTTACTTGAGCCAGATTAATGTAGATAGGTTTTCATGCTCAGTCAAAATCTGTTAGATGCTCCCTTCTGTGCTGGTAACAAGAGGCCTTTTCTCCCCCTCAAAAGATAATTCCAGTCTAAATTTCTGAAAATAGATTTTATTTTTGGTACCTGGGATCAAACAAGGAACCTCTTGTGCTTGTTGAGGCAGGCGGCAGAACCACTGAGCTAAATCCCCAGCCCAGAAAACAGCTTACTTCTAACAGGCCTTCGACACAAATGTCTTGAACACACTAAAGAAACAAACCAACCAAGCCTCTTAGGGCTGGGGATTTAGCTCAGCAGTGCCTTGACTGCCCGGCAAGCGGAAGGTCCCGGGTTCGATCCCCCGTGGTGGTGAAGGGGAACCCTGTTAAACCCCGGTGGTGTTGGTGAGTTACACTTTCTAGAGGATGAGACTAGTTATTTTGCTCTAGTCGTTCACACGTTATAAGCATACAGCTTTAGGTATTGGTTCGGGTGTAGAGGAAAAAGCTGAGGCTAAGTTAATTCAGTTATACCGGCAAAAAGGGTATGTGTTTGTCAACATGCCTCACGTTAGCCAGCGTGTCCAAACTCTAAGCTAGGTTGGGAGAAGGCGGAGAAGCAACTCTCCATTTTCTGTTCCCCAGTAGGAGATAGCACAAATCCGGAAGTTGTCTTAAGCGTTAGTTAACACAGGCTCGTGCAGCGGCAACATCCGTGGACCCCTTTGATTCCCCGCATCCCATCCGGGTGCTGTGGACTCCACACGCCGCACCCCGGCAGGTGGCTCCCAGGGTCACCCCGAACCTCTGCGGCCGCGCTTCCCTTCGCGAGGCGGTCGGTGCTGCAAGATCGTCTGTGACCGCAGAGCACCCGCGGTCTGTCGGCACCCCAGAACTGCTCGGCCTTTGAGGGGCGCCTGCCGGGCCCGCGCTGTCTTTCCTCAGGTCCCCGGCACCTTTCCTTCCACTCCCGACTGCCACGCCCCTTTGCGTTCCCACGAGCCAGTAAACTACACCCAGCTCTCTAGGCTCGTTCCGGGGTATAACACGAGAAGGGGGAACCTTAAGCCAGAAAAACACCCAGCTCTCTAGGCTCGTTCCGGGGTATAACACGAGAAGGGGTAACCTTCAGCTCTGCCCCCTCTACCTCTCCCGGCGGGCTCTTTGGGGTTAACGTGAAACTAGCAGTCTTCAGAAGGCAAATTTAACGTGTCCGGTAGGGTTGTGAGAATGACTGAGAGCCCGCTGAGGACGGAGGTGGCCAGGGCAGCACCTCACGCTTCAGTCACGCGAGCGCCTGCTCCCAACTCCCCTTCATTGTTTTGGGATCGTCGCCGCCCACCGTTCGCGCACGCGCTTTACGCTTTCAACCAATTTCGCACCCTCCTGGTTAGCCTCTCGCGCATGCGCCGACTCTGTCGCCCTAGTCCCGGTTCCTAACTCCTCTGTGCCCTCTACTTAAAGTTCACGACCTCGCTATGGACCCCCGCGCCCGCACTAACCTGTATTCAAACTCTTCGTCGTCATACTTGTCCGAATAATAAATTTGCTTGTGCGACATGCTCGCTCTGCCTGGGGAACTTCAGCCCAGAGCCACCAGCCTCCAAACAACTCCCAGCAGCACGCGCTCCCACCCTCTTTGGCCTCGCTTTCAAACACACCGCCCGCACTTCCTATTGGTTCCTTTGGCGCAAGGAGGGACAGTTCCGTGTTTAAGCTTCCGATTGGTTCATATTGGCTTCTTCTCAAGTCTTTATTGGATTGTAGTTCTTCTATTTCTCAAGAACCACCCTGGGTCAAAAATAGGCCTCTTATTGGCTATTACTGTTCCTGTGAGCGTCCTCGCGCTGTTACTGGCTGGTTTGGGAAAGTAGGCGGGGCGAAGAAGGGACGGTGAGGTAGAGGGTCAGGGGTTAGTGAGGCCGGAAGTGAGTGTAATAAAGTTTCTCCGGGGAGGCCGGGCCCAGGGAGAAAGTTGGAGCGGCGACTTAAGCAGGCGGAGGTGTGATCCGGAACCAGATCGGCCCGCGGTGCGGTGCGGAGACTCCATGAGGCCCTGGTGAGTCTTGACTTTTTTTCTCCTCAGGCGACTCACTCCTTCACCCCGGAACCCCTCTCTCGGGACCCCACTTCCGGTCTTCACTGATAAGCCCCGCCCCTGAGACCCCTTCCCGGAAGTCCCACCTTCTGGGGGCTCCCCGAACCCCGACTTGTCTTTCCCCGCGACCCCGCCCTGTTCCCTAGCTTTCCTGGAAGTTCCACCCCCAGACATGCTTCCGAGCCCTACTACAGTGAAGCCTTCCTTAGTCCTTCAGTTCTCCGTAACAACGCCTTCGCGCCGTGATTCTCCGCTAACTCTTGTCTGTCAAAAGCAGAGCTTCCTAAACTGCCTGGGGTTGGAACTCAAAGGACTTGACTTCGTTGACCACGCCCCCAGGAGGCCGCCTTCCCGGGGCCCCACCCCTTCCGTAATCCCGCATCCCGAGGCCCGGTCTTGTCTTCAGGCTTTTTAGGGGCCGCGCCCCCTTCGGTGATTAATTCGGCCCTGCGGGACCCAGGCCGTCACCTCCCAAGTCTTGTGTTCTTTTGCAGACCTTTCACCCGTGTACATTTTCCTGCCATTTCTCTCTTTGGGCCTTGGGCTCAGTTCTGCACCACCTGGTGGGAAGTTCCAGCTCCCACCTCTGGCTGTGAGGACAGCTTGGAAGCAGCCTTTCTCTTTCATCCTCTTCCAAGGGTGGATCTACGAGGGGTTCAGCACGACAGTGGGAGAGAGACTTGCTCAGAGATTCTAGGAACAGCTATGGGTCGAACCTGTCCGTGGCTAGAGAAGAGCTGTGGATGTTACTTGTGGACAGGAGCAAAAGCTTTCTCCAGAAAACGGTGGTTTGGAGCCAGAGTAGGGATCAGTGTCCCTTTTGTTCTTTAAGCAACTCCTCAGTCCCTCCTCCCCTTTTCTCTGTCTTCCTCTTCCCCTAACCAGACCTCCCACTGGGCCTTCTTTTTTTTTTTTTTTTTTTTTTTGGCCCCCCCTTTGCCTGGCCTTCCTTACTGGAAACATTCTTGAAGATTTCGCCATTTCCTGCTACTTCCCGCCCTTTTTGCTGCCTCCCTGCAGTGCTAAGAAACAACACACGCCCCCCCATCACCTGATCTTCCAGTAGGAAACTCATTTCTCCCTGTGCAGATGAAAAGTCACACTTCCTTACTTCCACATGCCCATACCTGTTGGCAATTTCCTGCCTCTGGATACTCTAGGTACCCACGGTGCCACTTCTAAAGATGTGGGCATTGTAGTATTTTTTTGTGTGTTGGCGGAATCCATCCTCAGTCTTTTATGCCGGAAGCTGAGGCCTTAGCAAATGGGGTAAATAGAATTCCTCAAGTCTGGGCAGCACTGACAAAGCTTTGCTAGGATGAAGACCTAAGGGGAGGTGAAGTAGGCAAGGTATCTATCATATTTTAAGTGTTCCTATATACACCCCACCCTTGGAGGATTGAACTACCCCCCCAGGTGTTACTATTGTTAATCATTGTAGCAAGGATTGCTTTAGTTCTCTGAGGCAATTTAAGGGTAATTCTGAGGTGAGCCTGGGGGAAGATGTATGTTTTACTTATATTTTTGCCCCTTTCCAACTTCCTGTGTGGCCTCCTCAAGCAGAGCTGTGGCAGGAAGCTGTGGGTAGAATGGGGTTGGGACTATTCCTTGTGTCCAACCTCAGCCCATATTCTTGCACCTCTTCCTTTTGTCCTTATTGACAACAGACTTCTCTTGTGACCTCTCTCTCTTGTTTTTTGAGACAGGTTCTTTTATGTAGCTCAGGCTGGCCTTGAACTCACTATGTAGCCCAGGCTGGTCTCAAATCCTCCTGAGTGCAAATGATCTTCCAGCTTTAGCCTTAGATGGGATGGAGGCATGAGCCATGCCCAGTGCTCTTTCTCACCTTAGCTTCTTGCTTTGGTAACTAGGGCTGTGGGGAGAGTACAGTGCTTGACCTAGGGCTGTTGCTCCTGGGTTGGTAGGTGTCACGCATAGAGCAGGCTGCTTGACCCTCTTGCTCCAGTCTTGCTTGTAGCTCCCTGCTGCACTTCCTAAGTTGGACTTGATGCTCCCCTTACTTCACCAGCTTTGCTTTTCCTCTTGGCCCTGCTCTACATCCACTGGGACCCTTTTTTTCCCTTTCCCATTTACCCTCACTCCAGTTCACAGCTGTTGTAGCACAGGATGCTAATGGGCCAGGCCCCCTGAGGCCACCACCACACTGTACGTGGCATTTGTGGGGGGGCTGCATGGGCTGGAGGATGGAGGAATTCTCGTGGCAGGAAGGGAAATGCTGAGCTCTGGGATCCCCGCCCTTTCCACGCCTGCTGCCTGTTTCCTCCCTCGTTCCCCCTTAGCGTCTCCTGGCTTCCTGCTCTCTGGAGCCTGCCCATGTCCGGTTTGGGAGTAATCTAGACCTTCCCTTATCTCTTTCCTTTCTTTCCTACGCTCCATCCTTCCCTTCTACTCACCCCACCCCCGCTTTCCTGCTCCCCGGATTACTAGTTGTTTTTGTGGAGCGGGAGGAAGGGGCACAGCCAGCCGCTCTCCTGCTGGAGTTGGAGCCCGGGCCGCGGTGGTAGGGCTCAGCCCCTCTGAGCCTGTGAGTCAGCACTGTCCTCGGATTGGTCGCTCCCCTGCGATCCCCGCCCCTGGGAGGAGCCAGGCCGCTCTAGGTTCAGCCTGTTCTCTTCTCTTTACCAGAGAAGAGGCTCTGTTCTGGGCGGGGATGGGGCTGGCCGCTGTCTGGGTCTGACCTGGGGGAGCGGAAGCCACTGGTCCCTCTCCCACCCCACGACCTCTGTGAGCCCTGGGCTGCAGAGGTCCGGCCAGGATAAGGGCTGGGGATGCCCCCTGCCTGGCCCCCTTGCGGGGGGCCGGGCTGGGCCGGGCAGCAGCCGGTCTTACCCCAGTCATGGATCTCCTACCCCCCAAGCCCAAGTACAACCCACTTCGGAATGAGTCTCTGTCATCGCTGGAGGAGGGGGCTTCGGGGTCCAGCCCGCCGGAGGAGCTGCCCTCTCCGTCGGCCTCCTCGCTGGGGCCCATCCTGCCTCCTCTGCCTGGGGACGACAGTCCCACAACCCTGTGCTCCTTCTTCCCTCGGATGAGCAACTTGAAGCTGGCCAACCCGGCTGGGGGGCGCTCGGGGCCTAAGGGGGAGCCAGGCAGGGCAGCCGAGGATCGGGAGGGAATCCCAGGGACAGCTGTGCTGGACTCAGGCCCCCTGCCCCTCCTCCAGGACATGAACAAGCTGAGTGGAGGCGGCGGGCGCAGGACTCGGGTGGAAGGGGGCCAGCTGGGGGGCGAGGAGTGGACCCGCCACGGGAGCTTTGTCAATAAGCCCACGCGGGGCTGGCTGCATCCCAACGACAAAGTCATGGGACCCGGGGTTTCCTACTTGGTTCGGGTGAGTGAATATCCTCTGCCTTTCTACTCCCACACCCACTCCAGTTCCTGAGCTCTGCTTCGCTGGGTCTCTTCCTGCTCTTCCCCAACAACCCCTCTTCCCTTCTCTTGCTGCTTCTCCCATTCCGTGCTCCCTGCTTTCCAGGCTGGCGTAATTTCTGCCTGGTCCCTTTCCTTTTGGGGGGCCCCCTCCCCCCAATTAGCACAATGCCTGTGGCTGAGGCTTTTAGTAAGTGTTGCTTGGGCGACTGGACTGTTCTCTCTGGACTTCTGTCCCCAGAGTTGTGCTCGTTCCCCCAAGGTCTCTTACTCCCTTCCAGAGTCTCTGGGGTGCACGCGGTCCTCCCAGCTTGCCTTTTCTGTCTCCTCCATCCCTGCTGTCTTGAGTTACAGGACAGCCTGGGCAGTGGTCCTCCCTCCCCTCGGGTGCCTGGGGGTGGGAGAGGTGGCTGACCGTTGTCCCCGCCCCTCCTCAGTACATGGGCTGCGTGGAGGTTCTGCAGTCCATGCGCGCCCTTGACTTCAGCACCCGGACTCAGGTCACCAGGTTAGTGGGCACGGGTGGACTGAGGCCACGGGAAGGGGAGAGGGAAGTGGGGCACTTGGTGATGATCAGGGGGGCTTATGTTGGGGTGTTGGAGAGGATTCGGAGAAAGTCAGCAGAGCCAAAGTCTGAATGGAGAGTGGTGACTCTAGCTCTGAGCTGCCTGAGCCATCAGTGTAGTGAGTGTGGCCTGGTGGCGGCCGGGTAGGGAGAAGGTGGCTGTCGCCTGCCTTTGGGATGGGCATGTGATGTTTGGTAGCCAGGAAGAGGTGAGGCTCTATGCCCATTGAGGCCCTAACCCAATCAGCCAGGAAGCGGCCTCAGTGTCATCAAATATTAAAGGGCCTTAATTCAATCCACCACGACAAAGAGCCTGGAGTACCCTGGGAGTCTGGCCTGGCCTTCCCCTCCCCCCGCGGGCCGGAGGCAGGCAGTGGGTCTGAGTACCTCTTTCCCCAGGGAAGCCATCAGTCTGGTGTGTGAGGCAGTGCCGGGTGCTAAGGGGGCGACCCGGAGGAGAAAGGTGCGTGGGATGGGTGGTGCCGGGGTAGGTGTGGGGGAGGCAGGAGTGTTTCCCTGGTGTTGGGGCGCTGGGGTTCTGAGACCCTGACCCTTCCCAGCCCTGTAGCCGCCCTCTCAGCTCCATCCTGGGGAGGAGTAACCTGAAGTTCGCTGGAATGCCAATCACCCTCACTGTGTCCACCAGCAGCCTCAACCTCATGGCCGCAGACTGCAAACAGGTTGGTTGGGTGAGAGGGGGCCAGAGGCACAGATGGCTCAGAGGAGACCTAGTTAGGAGGCCAAAACCAAGAGAGGGGACTTGGGAACAGCAGGGTGGAGAGGGAAGACGCTAGAAGGACACCCAAGAGAATGGGCCCACTGGGCCCAGGTGGGAGGCACCCAGCAGGATCCGAGGCTGCCTGACACTTGACTTTTGCTTCCTCTTTGCTGCCCCGCAGATCATTGCTAACCACCACATGCAGTCTATCTCATTTGCGTCTGGAGGGGATCCGGTGAGTTGGGGAGCAGTTGAAATGGTGGGGGGACGGCAGGGCTAGGGACTGGGAAGACACTGGTGGAAGAGCGGAGGTGCCCGGGCTGCAGGAAAGTCTGGAAAGGCCTGGGCCTTTGGGTCAGGAGGAAGATGGAGCTGCAAATTAGGACTAACTGGCTTCTTCTGACTCCCAGGACACAGCCGAGTACGTCGCCTATGTTGCCAAAGACCCTGTGAATCAGAGAGGTGAGGCCTGGTGGGGAGTGCTGGGTGGGGCCGGCTGTCTGAGGCAGGTGAGCTGGACCTGGGTTGTCGCTCCCCGCTTGGAGTAGAGCAGGTAGGGGCCCTGTCTGCCCCTCTCCCTGGCACCCCCACACCAGAGCTCACTGAGCCTCTCTGTGCCCCCAGCCTGCCACATCCTGGAGTGTCCCGAGGGGCTGGCCCAGGACGTCATCAGCACCATTGGCCAGGCCTTCGAGCTGCGCTTTAAACAGTACCTCAGGAACCCACCCAAGCTGGTCACCCCCCATGACAGGTGAGCACAGGAGGGTCGGGGCAGCCCTGGGCTCCAGAGGAGATTGGGGAGTAGGTCCGCTGTGGCCACACTGGATCTCCAAGAGGTTCAGGGGAGGACATAATCAGTGTGCCCTGTTCCCACTTCCTGCCATCTTCATGTTTCTGGTGGCCTTTGGGGGACTTTTTTGTGCTGGGTGGATCTGTGTTCTGCTCTTTCTCTGGCTACATGGGCTTTGTTCTCTGCGTCCTCACTTCCAGCCCATCCTCTTTCTTGCCTGTATCTCGGTGTCCTGCCTCTGGGGAGGTCATCGTGAGTTTGGGCTGGGAGGGTATCTTTGCTCTGAGCTGCTTATCTTTTCCACCTCAAGCCTCCTGGGATAAGCAGTGGTGTCAGTGGGCATTTGTGTTTCTGAGCAGCTAAGCTCCTCCCCACTACCTGTGCTTCCTGTCCCTCTCAGGAGACAGTGCAGTAACCAAGGGCATGAGCTTTGCAGTCAAACCCAAATTTAAACCTTGGGTGTACCCTTCTTGTTGTTAGAATTTGGGTGAATCTTTGTGCCTCTGACTTGTTCTCATTTGTAAAGTGAGGGAAGGAAATAGCAGCCTGAGGGTTTCCGGAGGATGAAGTGGTTCCAGGGCAGGCTGCCTTCCCAGTCCTCCCCCGCGACCTCCTGCTGCCTTACTCTGTGCTGTCTCAGGATGGCCGGCTTCGATGGCTCAGCGTGGGATGAGGAGGAGGAAGAGCCACCTGACCATCAGTACTACAATGACTTCCCGGGGAAGGAGCCCCCTCTCGGGGGGGTGGTGGACATGAGGCTCCGGGAAGGAGCCACGCCGGGGGCTGCTCGGCCCACTGCACCCAGCACCCAGGCCCCCAGTCACCTGGGAGCTACACTGGTAAGCTGCTTGGAGAGAGGTGCCAGGGCCCAGGACGGGAGTGGCATGGGGCCTCTGGTCTTCACCTGGTTTGTATCCCTATAGCCCATTGGGCAGCCGGCTGTGGGAGACCCAGAAGTCCGCAAGCAGATGCCGCCTCTTCCACCCTGCCCAGGTACGGAGTGTGGGCTGTGGGCAGGACAAGGCGTGCAGGGAGCTGGGTGGGTGCACTGCAGAGCCTCCCTTTCCTCTGCAGGCAGAGAGCTCTTTGACGATCCCTCCTACGTCAACGTCCAGAACCTAGACAAGGCCCGGCAAGCAGGGAGTGGGGCTGGACCCCCCAATCTTGCTGTCAATGGCAGTGCTCCCCGAGACCTCTTCGACATGAGTGAGTGCAGCTCTTGTACCCCTGTCGTCCTGCTTGGTTCCTCCTCTTTGGCCTGTCTCCCCTCTCCTTCCTGGCCTCCCTCCTGGAAGGGCTGGGTCCTGGGCCCCTGCTGGGCCAGCTGTCCCTCCTAACTCTCTCTGCACCTCCAGAGCCATTCGAAGATGCCCTTCAGGTGCCTCCACCTCCCCAGTTGATGTCCATGGCTGAGCAGCTCCGAGGGGAGCCCTGGTTCCATGGGAAGCTGAGCCGGAGAGAGGCTGAGGCACTGCTGCAGCTCAACGGGGACTTCCTGGTGCGAGAGAGCACGACCACGCCTGGCCAGTATGTTCTCACCGGCCTGCAGAGTGGGCAGCCAAAGCACTTGCTTCTGGTGGACCCTGAGGGTGTGGTGAGTGTGGCGCAGGGGTGGGTAGGGGTACAGCACCCTTCTGTGCATCCTTCTTCCTTCCCTCATTGTCTCTAGACTTTGCTCTGCTGGCAGCTCTCTGGGGGCCTTCCCTGTTCTAGGTGCCTGGGGTCCCCCTGCAGCAGGTGAGGGGTCCCTCCCTCTCAGATCCGAGTCTGAGTTGTGTGCCCTGGCCAGACCCCAGGTCCTCAGACCTTAGGCCCACCAGATCGAGAAGGTGCTCCTCTCAGCTTGCCCTCCTTCCCTCGCAGTACTGGGGATTAAACCTAGGCCTTTTGCAATGAGCTACCTACATTTCCACCCCTTTTTCTTTGGAGTCAGTCACTTTTGCTAAGTCACTTAAGTTGCCAGGCAGGGCTCAGATTTGTGATGTTTCTACAGCAGCCTCCCAGAGTGCTGAGTTTATAGGCCTGTGCCACCAGGCCTGGCTTCTGCCCCTCCTGACAAGGGAGGAAACCACCGTGCCAGTGTCAGCTGGTTAGAGGCTAGACATCCAGGTCTCCTTCGGCCCTCCTAGTGCCCTAGACCCTCGACTCACTTTCCCACACTGCCCCACTGTGCCTCCCACCCTCGGCAGCCTCAGCCTCCATTCCACATCTCCGTCACCCTGTGATCTTCCTCTGAGACACGCAAGAAAACTTCTCCCTCGGTTTACAGTTCTGGGCTGGTGTCCCCTCTTCCTTCCCACGGCTCACTGACCTGCCTGTTCCCGCAGCTGTGCACAGCTTCCCTTTGTGGAGAAGCTTCGGTAACCCGCCCGCTCCCCACCCTCCTGTCTTCTCCCGACTGGCGTGTCTTCCGAGACTGGGGCAGAGGAAGCCTCTGTACTAGTCATTTGACTTGACTGCTTCCTTTCACTTCCCCAGGTTCGGACAAAGGATCACCGCTTTGAGAGTGTCAGTCACCTCATCAGCTACCACATGGACAATCATTTGCCCATCATCTCTGCGGGCAGCGAACTGTGTCTGCAGCAGCCTGTGGAGCGGAAGCTCTGAGCCGCCTGCCTGGCCACTCTCCCAGATGCCCTCTGGCCCCTTCCACCCTCTTCCCTAACTCTCAGGACCTCACTTGGGAGTGTTCTGTGGGCTTGGCCTTGGTAGGAGCTGGGAGTGATATGGACACTGGGTTCCCTCTGGGCCGAAAGAGAGGACTGAGTCACGAGCCTGGGGCAGAAACCTGCCTCTCCCAAACCTCACCAAAGTGTTAATGCACAGAGTGGCCTCCTTGCTCAGGCCTTGTCTGTGCCAATCTGTTGCCTCTTTCCCCAAGAAGGGGCGCTTGCTATGGGAAGTGCCTCGAGGTGACAGGCCCGGTCGAGCCATCACCCTCCAGGGGCAGGGGCCACGAATTCCACCTCTGGTCTCCTGGGCTTCAGGGCGCTTGGACCCCTCAGCACTTCCCCTCCCCGTGTTTGACTGCGTGCCTTTGACCATCTCCTTGGTCTGAAGATATTCTATGCAGAGTTCTCAAGGCCCCCAAGTTCAAGTACGGAGGTGCTGATGCTCTCCTGGTTTCCGGGACCCTGTCCTCTCTGCTCTGCACCCTCCCTGGTGTGGGCTGGGGAAGCAGGCAGGAGTGACAGCCGTCCTCTATCCATGGGGATGTGCAGCACTCAGAGCAGGCCCTAGAGCCTCCTGCTCAGTGCCTTCCGGGCCCTCCCCTGGGCCTGTGTGTACATCTCCAAGCCCTGGCCCTCCTGTGACGTGCATTCTGTATCTGCAGCCAGAGTGCAGCCCCTCTGCCTGTCGCTGGCCCTGCCTCTTCTGGGCAGTGGGGTGACTGAATTTTGGCCTCCCCTGTGGTTGACTCCTGGGTGGGCTTTGTGGAGGTGGGGAGGGGGGCATTGAGATTTAAAGCAGCAGACAATCCCCAAATGCCACCTGTAGATTTGGAACCACTCGTTTTTTTATATGTGTATGTTATAGGGCTGTAGACTTACTGTCCTAATTTTTGTTTTCCATGGCTTTTGGGCACAAAGTGATAATTGATTACATTTATACATCATCTCTTTGACTTTTCTGAGCCCTTTTACAACTCTTGGCATTTCCCCACCGGCAGCATTATCTTTTTTACAAGAGAGACTCGAGGCAGACGGTGATTCTGTCCTAGGACTGAAAAACTTGGGGCTTCTCCAGGCGACTGTGCTGTATGCAGTGGGAGCTTAGGGCCCGCGGGCGCCGAGGCCTGGCGGGCCCCTTGCTGGTCCGCAGCCAGGGTTTTCCATCCCGGCCGCCGCCTTTTTTTGTTTGGTTGTGTTCACGGGTCTCGCTATACCAAAGGGAAACTCTTCATTAAAGTCCGTATTTCTTCTATCTCCGCCTCTTAGCTCCTGTCGCGAGCGGGAGGTGCTCACTGCACTTCGGGGCCGGCCGGCCGGGGCGAAGGCGGCAGGCAGCTCGGTTCCC